CCCCCCTGAATTGTTGCTCGTGGCTCGCCTTTCATGATATCTCTGATTTTCCACTAGCTGCTTCCATGGCCTTTTCCAAGTCACAAGGCCTCATGACCTTCACTGCGGCTCTGATCTCCGATTTGAGCCCCTTCAGGAAATTCCCTTCCAATGTCGTCTCTGAAAATTGCTCCACTCAACTGGCCAGATGCTCAAACCTCTCCCCGTAGTCTACCACAAATTCATCCTGCACTAGTGCAAAGAGTTGCTCATAGAAATCTCATCCCCTATCAGTTTGGAAATGTTCTATTAAAAAAAAAACTTTAAACTCTTTCCAGCTTTGTAGGGGTCTCCCACAGAGTCTCCACTAGTACCATGACAGTGCCTTACCCTCGAAACATAAGCATGCTGCTATCAACTTCTCCTCCTCCGTCAAACCATTGACGGCAAAATACCTCTCCACCTTATAGATCCATCCATGTGTGTCCTCCCCTTCAAAATTGGGCATTTTCAACTTCCTTACCTTCTGATCTCTCCCGATTCCCCTTATTCCTCCATAGTTTCTCTTTCCCAAGTTCTTGGCCCTCTCCAAGTTTCTTGATCTTCCCTCCTACATTCATACACCAACCCCTATTCAATTTCTCCCTTTTTTTCTTCAAACTATGCACCCCTTCTTCCACATTCCATTTATTTTTTTCCCCAACCAGCACTCCGTGATTCATGCCCCTCATACCCATGCCTACCTCCGCACCTTCCACCTCTTTCCTCCATGATTCCTCCTACAAAAATTAGAATTTGTATTTCTTCCCATGGGTCCCTTTGCCTTCGATGCCACAGTTTGAATATGATTTTCAATAACTTTTTCATCATAGCATGAAGATCAAAAACATTGTCTTCAACGGACGAAACCTTGTCTTCTATGGACAAAACCTTGTCTTCTACGGAGGAGATTCGATCTTCCAGCGTGGCTTTTATTTGACTCATCTCCCCTTCAAAGCGCCCCTCCAAAGCATCTACCTACTTGGCCGCCATAAAAAATTCTGGGTATTGATTCAAATTTCAGCAAGAAACCGCCTTCCGAACAAAAAAATACGTCGCTGAAATTTCAGAAAAACAGCCCAAGATGGTCCCAAAATCTGCTATGATGCCAATTTTAATAGGAAACACATGAAGATCTCAAGTAAACCCTAACAGGATTGACGAAAACAACATAAATACTCCACAAATCCAATGAAAAGCAAACAAAACAGTAGTTTTTATTATATAAATCAAACCAACAAAAAAGAAATTGTAAGATACAATTGATCCTCTATTTGAGAGGAGGATCCTTCTCTCCCAATCTCTAGAAGCCGCTAGAGTCCAAGACACCAAAACTCCAAGAACAAGAGCAGCCCCAAATAATTTGCATAACCCTAAACCTAATCCTCCTTCCCTAATTAAAGCAATTGAACCCACCTCCTTAGCCCCAGCTGCCTATCCCTCCTTCCTATTTTATTTGGCTAGAGGGCCCCACCTCCCTTGGGCAGAAAATCCAATGGGGTGGACTGCTTGGTCCGCCTCCTATAGCATTGGATCGGTCCATGTTGGATTGGCCTAACATAGTAATAGATCTAGTGGGGCATTATGACTTTGGATGATTAGGTCATTAAAAAGGATACATGTTTTAGATATCAGGACTTTTTTTCAAAGTGATGGTGAAAAAGATGAAGATATTATTATAGAATTCAAGTTGGATGGTTGAAGCGAAGGAATGCATAGGCATGTTGCGTGATAGAAAAGTACCCCTCAAACTTTAGGAAAAATTCAATAAGATGGTGGTGAGATATGCAATGCTTTATGGTCAGAATGTTGGCCATTAAAAGAGAAGCATAAAAATAAGTTAAGTCTTGTAGAGATGAGCATGCTTAGATGGATGAGTGGCTTTACTCTTTTAACATTATATTATTGAATTACTACTTTCAACAAAAAATAAATAAATAAATAAAGATGACTAAAGTTTGCATAATTGAAACTCACTTACTACCTTAAAGAATTTAAGATTCAAATGTAAGAACTCAAAATTTTCACTTTCTGCTAAACAAGCAATGAAACTGAATTCTAGAACTCAGTTTCAATCAGTTCCAAGCAATTAAACCGAAACAAATTAGCGCTTGGAGGCAATGGATGCCAATAAAACTAGAGTTGGAAAACTATGCAGCGCAAATCAGAAATCAAAAGCAAAGAGTCAGATCTATTAAAATTTCAAGCTTTCTTGAAAAAACAATAAAGAGGTAAACCTGTACATGAAAACATCCTTTCCTTGCCCAAGTTTCTTTCTGCAAACATTGCAAAAAGCCAAGAAATCATTAGAAGGATAACTAATTTCCCCATCTGTGGAGAACCTGATCTCCTTCCTCAGAGAATTGTAACCATTGCCAGAGTTCTCCATGATGCAAGTATAAAAAATGTGAGTAATCCTAGGGTTTGGTCCATGAGAAATCACGCGAGTATAATCCTCAGATTGTTCCATCTCGCTTGTAGATAAACATAAGATTGGTGGCGGCGGCCGTGACTCTGGCATAGAACCACCGAGAACTGCCGAAGATCTTGAAGGAGATAGTAATGGTGCCATAGCTATTTCAGAATTCTTGTTTTTGACACCAAACTCAATTACAGGGTGAGGGGACTCAAAAAAGTCATTTTGGCTGGTAGAAGGTAACTGACCCTTGAGCTGCGATCCGAACAACAACATTCTACCCTCTAAATTTGAAGATTTCTTATCAGTTTTGTCATTGCTGAGAGCATAAAAAATTCCAAGCCCAACAGTTTTTTATTCACTAACATCCCATGGATGATGTTTTTTTTCTGAAAAATTGCCTGAATGAGCTCTTTGCTTTCTATTAGAGATGAAATGGTGCACTGTTGCAGAGAAAGATTTTGCTTCTAAGATGGAGGTTGGCTCATTGCAGAAGTCTCAGTGTCAAAGAAACCCACAAAGAACTCAGGTGATGGAATAAGAGAAAGAACTGCTGTTTACTTATAAATGGGAGCATTAAGTGAACTATGATCAAACATTAAACCTTCCTTACTGTTAATTGTTCTCTTCTTCAGCATCATAGCAACTCTTAGACTTG